GGGGGGGGGGGTCCTAAATAGGTTAATGTTAATGGTGGGGGTAGAGAGGGGGGTTAGTGCTGAGGGTAACACAAGCACGTGGCCTCTGAGGCCAGGGTTGAGTTTTAAAACTTTTTCCTGCTAGACTGAACCCGAAAGTAATCATGCTGAGCCAGGCAGAGAAAACGTCCGGCTTTTACTGTTGTACACGCACGCACGCACGCACGCACGCACGCAAACACGCACGCACGCACGCACGCACGCACGCACACACACACACACACACACACACACACACACACACACACACACACACACACACACACACACACACACACACACACGCAAACACGCACGCACGCACGCACGCACACACACACACACACACACACACACACACTAATCACACTATTGAAACTAAACCTGGATAAATATGTTTATGCTTACAATCAGGCTTGGGGAGTGGCGGATGACAAAAAAAGTACATTTTTGTAATGTATCAATAATGATGAATATATTGTAGGTAGAAGTACTGCCTGAATTTTGTTTTAGGTTTTCATTTAGGCTATTCTTTATTTTAAATATATATTAAACTAAAACACTTTTTTATGCTCTGTATGTTTTGCCTAAATGTAGAACACATTTTATCCTAAATATCTTGGTTTCTTCTTTTTAGGGTTACATTACCTCTATTACCTCTATCTATTGTCTTGTCTATTGTAAGATAAGATTTGTTTCAGAAAGCTAGTTGTAATGGATTACATTTTAAAGTAACCCTCCTAACCCTGCTAACAACTGTGTAAAGTAAAAGGGGTCAACAGACTTCGCAGTTCCCCTTAGCTCTATTTCAGCTCTTAGTTTTGATAAAGTTAGCAACCATGGTGAATATGTTGATGCATTAAGAAAATACAGCTTGGTTACCTTTAAATGTTTAGTTTTGTTGACTAACTGCTAATATAAAGAGTTGATCAGGCCAGATCAGAAACCTGGATATGATTGTTTAATTATTGGTTTCTAACAGAATACAGCCAGAAGGTTCCTCAAAATGTGTATTTAATGTGTGTGCAGGTTTCTAAAAAACAACCTTATGTTTACGTGGACAACACATAACTAGGATACAAGCAAGTCAAGTCCCAACTGGAATGACTGCAGAAAATATATCCAGGAAAAAAGGGGGAAAAAGAGAAAGTGAGTGAATGTGCTGACCTTAAACTGCCTCTGCTGCCTGTATGTGAAATAATGGAAAGACCTGATCACAACTATGGCAGCCATTTTGCAGTCACCTAGTGTACACAAAACACTGTCATGACAACCGTGGTTCACATTTACAGCCAGCAGTACTGATGAAGTGACGCTGATTTCAGTGAAGACATTTTTGTGGTTTGAAGGCCACAAAGAAAAACAGTAACATGCATGTAAGCGTAATGCAAATAACATAACTCTGAAAACTCATGCTGCGCTGCCAAACCTTTTTTAAACCTTATTTTAAACTCAAGTGGAAATCCCAAGGTTAGGAATAATATGAATTGCTAATGGGAAAATGTGTATAAAATGATACAAAAGAACTGTAGAAATTGTACAGCTGATAGAATGGTACAGCCATAAAAGCCTGTTTAATTATCTCACTCAAGATTCATATTCTTACATTCAGATACATTTAATATACTGTACGTGATTCTGTCTAAAAATAACATATTTCTGATTCTAAAGGGGATTTAAAGTTCAATCTGGAGCTCAAAAAAAGCATCAGGGATAAGATAGGTACATCACAAACAGGTTGATGTGCCTAATGTTTCCAGTTTGCTGGTTTGGTGTCTTCCAACTGAGCCATCCAAATGTGGACAAGGTGACGTGTTTACGGCAGCTAAAAAGTCATTTGCTGGTTGAAATGATCTAAAAGAACTGTAAACATCAGATTATGCAATCAGTATCTCAGGTTCAAATGGTACGAAAAAGGAAAATGGATGAAGACATGGCCGATTTATTATATAATTATGCAATAACCTTTATAAAATAGGATTTTTTGTTTTTGTTTTGCTCTTTACAATAGTAGAAATTGACATAACAGATACAACTAAGGTAAAAGAATAACAGGCGAAAATACATTTGATCAAGTATGGCACTTTACAAAGTGGAATTATAGAATATTATCTTTTTATAATTATCAATCTTTGAGGAATTCTGAGACAATAAAATATACATGTCTTAAAGGCAGTTTAAAAAAAAGACATATCCTAGAAATAGTTAGCAGGGTCAAAGTTTACATAAATCTTTGAGTTTGAGTAGTTGGGCAGCTAAAAATAATAATAAGGAGATAGCAAATATATTGCATTTCTGGAATGCATTTAATTTTACAAAATGAATTCTATCTAATTCTTAACATTTCTCGAGGGAAGGATGTGAATTAAGACTTATGAACACCACGAGGCCCAAAAAGTGACTTTGGAAGTCATCAAATCCCCTGCGTTAGTCTCTAGCTCCATCTAGTGGCACTAACTTGTATTGCAGTCAGTTATCAGTAGGTCAAAACAAATATGGTACATGACCTTATTATGTTTCCCTGTTTAGATGAAGGGTAGTCAGGCCAATGTGACTTCATGAGGGTATGGCCACAGTAATAGCTTTTTCCGAACACGAGGTCCTGTGAAATATGAATAGCATAAGCGTAAGCTCTGTTTAAGCTCCACTAATAAAATGTTTACTATCTTAGCCTAAATAACTCTGTATTGCTATGTTTTGGGTAAAGACACAGACGTGGAATTCAAAATAACTGATGGACAACATTAGCAGACATGATGCAGAGTTAAAATGAGTGATATTTTGCTATGGTACTGTTGGATTAAAACAATATGCTTATAATATTTCAAAAGAGGCAGCTACTTTTAGGAGGCTACGACATACTTTTAGAGTGTGTTAAAGCACAGACTGAAGCATCATGTAGTTTGAATTCATTCATAAGTTCTTATTGTTTTTTTCTATTAGTGCTACTCTGGTGCTACTGTCCCAATCCACCAGACACCAGACGGTGGCGGTAAAGCAGCATGTCGTTGTTTGCCAACCACCAATAAAACACCACCAACCACACGAAGAAGAAGAAGCAGCTCATGCTCATACGTCACCGAGCTGGCTCCTCCGCGGAAGATCTGACCGGCCGACCGAACTCATTTTCAGGCGAACAGGAGCACCAGGGCTGCCCGGGACATTGTAACTCCGCAGAATGGGAAACCGGCTGCTCTCCTCTGGGTAACACGATTATATTCTGCTTTGATATCAAGGGCAACTTGCATGAGCATTTAAATAAAAAGGACGAAGCCGATGGTGTTCTTCATCCGCCTAAAAAAAATGAGAACCGCTTATGATTTTTGCAATACGCATTTATAATCAGCGAGGACTATTTCTCCTGTTGCATCGCCATTGGTAGTTGTAGTTGAAGCGTTTTAAAGCAGATCTATTTTAACCTTTCCCCCCAGGCAAAATGAAAAACTCATGAAGATCATGGATGTAGCAGACGTGTCACATAGGAGATCAGTGACATTATTGAAAAATAAAATTATATTTAGTTTTTTGTCGATGCCAAACAAAACTGCAATATTTAATTTCCTGATTCTCAGGAGGATGTGTAGTGAAATCGTAAGTTAAATACAAAATAACCATTTGTGTGGGAATTCTTTAAAATTGACAGTTGTTTTAATCTTTTATAAAATGTTACCATGGATGTGAAGCCTACATATTTGAGTTTATTCATCAACATGTGCTTATATTTAATGATTGTCTTGTTTTATTTGTGCCTATTATCTGCACTGTCCCTTTGCTGTAACAATGCATATTACCCATTCCAATAAAGGTTTTCTGATTTCTGATATCTCTTTAGGGGTGACATATGCCCGTCTGATCACGTCGACGGAGGAAAGTTCGTTGCCAGGAGGATCAGCAAGGGCATAACTTATTATTTTGCTCCACTCTCGGGGGCAGAGGAACAGAAATTATCTGCTAACAAAGAATCTCAATTGCACACTGCACACTGCCCTATTTCTACCCCATCACCCTCAACTCAGCCCCTCAGTGACTCCTCCCCCGCAGACCCCTCCTCATCCTCTCCATTGCTCTCAGATTCTCCTTCACACACATCTGCCTCCTCCCAAAACACCCAATCACAATCTGAATCCACTGCCCGACCCCTTCTTCTTTTCTTCTCCTGGCTCGGTGCCCGGAAAGTGGCAGTGGCCAGGTACCGGGACCTTTACCTGCACCGGGGCCTGGATGTCCTGCTGGTCCAGAGCAGTGTGATGCACTTCCTGTGGCCTCGGTGGGGGCTAGACTACGGGATGGAGGTTTTGAAGGTTCTGGAGGAGCCTCAGTTTGCAGGGAGGGCGGTGCTGGTCCATGCCTCCTCCATCGGGGGCTATACTTTCACACAGACACTCACCCACATTGCTGAGGGAGAGGAAAAACATGCAGGCCTGGCCAAGAGGGTGATAGGACATATCTATGACAGCCTGGTGGTTGGGAGTCTGGAGAATATGGCGATAGGTGAGTGAGTGTCCCTCTCCTCAGGTTACTTTTCGTGGGATATGCCAGTCAGATCTTTAAATAATTAACTTGTCAGCTGACCAGGAATTATTTGTGGCTGCTCGTGTCTGTGCTGCCTAGAGTGTGTGCAAACGGTTTATACATTCATCAGTTCAGTTATAATATTTGGACATGGTGTTCATATTTTTTTACGATTTAGGCATATTTTAAAACAGACTCAACATGTTATTTCAAACTTTAGTATGACTTTAAATATGTCAGTATATCATAATCTCTTCTAAATCGGCCTTAAAATTGTAGAAAAGGTTTCAGAATTTACCCACACATTTCACATTTTTAAAGGTCCCATTTCATGGCCATTTCTATTGATCATAATTCCATTGTTGAGGTCTACTAGAATAGATTTACATTTTTCAATGTTCCAAAATCCCAATCCCATCTAGTATGTGTATTCACTCTCTGTCCTAAACGGCTTGTTGGAGCTCCTGGTGGTCTTTTATGGACAGGAATCACGACGGGGGTCTTGCGGAGCAAACCTCTAAAAAGGAATAAGGTAAAAAAAGAAGACCAGTATCACTGCATGGGCCAGGTAATGCTGCATTGCCGAGGCTCGAGGGGAGTGTGGTGGGTGTGTCGTGATTGTGAGTGAGTGAGTGCGGAAATAGAAAAGGAGTCGGCTCCATGACCGGCGCGTCGAAGTGGTCGTGTGTGTGTGTGAGTGGGTCGGGAGAATAGAAAAGAATCGGTGTGTTATGGGCACTCACACACACACACGAGTCCGACTCAAGCGTCACAGAGCGACAGACGTCTGGGGTGTGTCGTTGTTTCCTTTGTTGTGGTCATTAGGTCGAGTGTGACAGGCGCAGGAGCCGGAGTTTCCGCCCGTCGCTTGGGGCGTGCAGGGCGGTTGTGACGTGGGTCTGGGAGTTGCGTCTAAGTCGTAAACCCAGTAGACAAACAGTAATGACCCACAGCTACAAGCACCAACGATTGTTTGCGGTAACCTTGTGTATTAGTGAGCTACAAGGGCGACATTGCCACCACCTGAGTAGGTCTTGTTTCAGCCGCTCGACTGGTAAAGTCTGGTGTCCCCGGTATCCCT